GGGGACAAAATGTACCACAGTGTCAACGTACAGGGGACAAAATGTACCACAGTATCAACCTACAGGGGACAAAATGTACCACAGTGTCAACAAACGGTGTCAAAATGTACCACAGTGTCAACGGTCGGTGACAAAATGTACTACAGTGTCAACGTACGGGGACAAAATGTACCACAGTGTCAACGTACAGAGACAAAATGTACCACAGTGTCAACGAACAGGGACAAAATGGACCACAGTGTAAACGTTCTAGGAAGAATTGTACTACAGTGTCAACGTATAGGGACAAAATGTACCACAGTGTTAACGTACGGGGACAAAATGTACCACATTGTCAACCAACGGGGTCAAAATGTATCACAGTGTCAACGTACAGGGACAAAAAGTACCACAGTGTCAACGATCGGGGACAAAATGTACTACAGTGTCAACGTACGGGGACAAAATGTACCAGAGTGTCAACGTACAGAGACAAAATGTACCACCGTGTCGACGTACAGAGACAAAATCTAACATAGCGTCAACGTACGGGGACAAAAATGTGTACCACAGTGTCAAAGAACGGGGACAAAATGGACCACAGTGTCAACGTACGAAGACAAATTGTACTAAAGTGTCAACGTACCGAGACATAATGTAACAGAGCGTCAACGTACGGGGACAAAATGTGTACCACTGTGTCAACGAACGGGGACAAAATGTACCACAGTGTCAACGAACGGGGAAAAAATTGACAACAGTGTCAACGTACCGAGATAAAATGTACTACAGTGCCAACGTATGGGGACAAAATGGACCACAGTGTCAACGAACGGGGACAAAATGTACCACAGTGTCAACGTACCAGGATAAAATGTACCACAGTGTCAACGTACGAGGACAAAATGGACCACAGTGTCAACGTACGAAGACAAATTGTACTACAGTGTCAACGTACGGGGGAAAAGTGGACCACAGTGTCAACGTACGGGGGTAAAGTGGACCACAGTGTCAACATACGAAGACAAAAGAGTCCCAATGGGCCTACATCGCTCACCTGGTATTAATATCACACTTGTAATCTTAAGTGGACTAAAATACAGTTACACCCAGAATATCAGTATTTGATTCATAAGAACCTATTAAAAGATTTAAACATACGACGCCTGTGACCTTGAATGTCGAAAAAGACATTAGGTTGAAAGTGGGTGAAGGTCATTCATTTGAATATACTTGGTAGTCCTTCATCCCAGCATGCTACAGGCCCAATGTCAGTACCCTGGGCCTTTTGGTTATTGAGAAGAAGTTGTTTGAAGATTTTAACATATTTGACCCCTGTCACTTTGAAAGTGGGTCAAGGTCATTTATTTGAACAAAATTGGTAGCCCTTCATCTCAGCATGCTACAGACCCAATATCAGTACCCAGGGCCTTTTGGTTATTGATAAGAAGTCGTTTGAAGATTTTAACATGTTTGACCCCTGTGACCTTGAAAGTGGGTCAATGTCATTCATTTGAACACACTTGGTAGCCCTTCATCCCACCATGCTACAGGCCCAATTTCAATACCCTGTGCCTTTTGGTTATTGAGCAGAAGTCGTTTGAAGATTTTACGACATTTGACCCCTGTCACCTTGAAAGAGGGTCAAGGTCATTCGTTTGAACAAACTTGGTAGCCCTTTATCTCAGCATGCTACTGGCCAAATATCATCAGCCTGAGCCTCTTGATTATTCAGAAGAAGTTGTTTAAAGTAAAAAGTTGGCGCCGGATGGACGACGGACGCCGCACCATCCCCTTCGGGCCAGGAGAGCTAAAACTATACCACAGTGTCAACGTACGGGGACAAAATGAACCACAGTGTCAACGTACGAAGACAAAATGGACCACAATGTCAACGAACGGGGACAAAATGAACCGTAGTACCAACGTACTAGAAAAGTACAACAAAGGAACTGAGGAGACACTGAACATTTAGAAAGATATCAAAACAGATGTGAAACGCAGTGATCTGAATGTGAGATTCCTAAACCACATATATGGCCCCACCATGATGTCAATTCCAGGAAAGTGGTTAGGTCGCTAACAATCTAAGGATGCAGTAAACATCCTCCTTAATTAACTAGGAACTAAAATTCCTAAATCGAAATTCAGGTGTTGATCATGGAATTCTTCGACGGATCTAAAAGTCTCGTTTATGGCTTTGATTACATGTGTTTTGTTGGTAAACAACTCGTATGTTTATCACGAAAATCAAGTTTATATAAATTGATGGTAGACAACTTGTTTCTTTATCATGAAAGCCCTGATTATGTAACTTGACAGTAACTATGTTATTTAACATGAAATACCTAGGTATGTTATCTGATAGGAAATATCTGTATGCATTATGAAAGCCCTGCGAATGTAATCGGATAGTTAACAACGTGTATTTATTATAAAATCCTAGTTATGAAATTTGATGGTAACCAACCGGTATATATATATATAAACCCTGACAGGTAACACGGTGTTCTTTTTCGTCTCACAAATGCGGAAGCAACTCGAACGAATAAAAGAATTAAGCGAATGCTAAACAATTGCGTTTTTTTGTGTTATATTTTATTTTCTGATTTTTGTTGTTACACAGCAAAATAACGACTTTAAATCGTCGTTTTGTCTCATTTCTGGTTGACGTGCGCCAATTAAGGGATATGGAGTTTTAGAAACCATGTTATCTTCTCTCGAATTTGAACTACATGTAATAGTACCTCATTAGTCCCTTTCAAAACTGCATCTATTATCATTATTTCGAGGAAAAAATACAATTAGACAAAATGACAATTTTAGTTTGAAATAGCAACAGATGTAGGCTAATTAGCGCGTGATTTTGTGTTTGTCTTAGCTTTTTCTTCTTTTAGAGGCAACACCGATGTCGATAGTGTGCAGCGAAATAATAAGACAATTATAATATATAATTTAAATCCCAGTTATTCAAGGGGAATAACTCTGCATATCTCCGATACTCGGGTCCCATGTTCACACAAAGGCGTACGTGTTCACCCTAGTCCGAGCGCTACCTATTTTAATGCATGATGTCCTAGGGTTGACATTGTTTAATTCAGAAAGAAATATATATATCATGATGAATGAAGATAAATTGATGACGTCTTATCATTTTGTTTCCAGAGAAATCCCTGCAGAAAAGAAACGCCTAGTGACGAAACGAATTTATTTCCTATTTCCTTTAATCTAGTTCTGCATACAGACTTACTTTATTGTACACAATATCTATGTATCAAAGTTTTATATAATCCATTAATTAAATTTGTTTGATATGAAAGAAAGTATTCGACGATTTATAGAGGAACCATGTCTTATGATCTGTATGTAATATCAACATTTTAACACCAACTCTGGACCTATAAGGACCATTGCAGTATTTGATATCATTGTCCTTTTTCTAAACACTAACCCAGTATCACGGAAACACTGTTGTTCTTAACCTTTTATTGTTACTTTGCCTTCCCGGACATATCTTTACAGGGGATGTTTTGACCTTGATTTGCAAACTTATGTCAATAATTTCAACATGCAAATTCTTACAAAAAAGTCATTTTATTATCTAAATTGAGCTAGTTAACAACAAGGTTGATATAACAACATTTAACAAAGTTAGTTAAATAGTTTTAGTAAGATTTGAGAATGTCGAAAACGGAAGAAAATACAGAAAATAGTAAATGACAATTAAGAATAAGTACACTTTACTAAAATATACATAGCTGAATAGAGAAACAGATTTTCAAGGAACAATGGTAATATATTACAGACACCGTACTTTGCGATAGGTTATTGTGCGTCAAATTTTAGCTTTTTGAACACATGTAATACAACAATTGATATGAAAACGCTGACAGTTATGACACTTTCAGATGAAAACATGCCTTTATTGAAGTGCTACCTGTCCGAACAATAAGCAATTCGAAGTTTCTGTTACATAAAAGATATAGCCCAAGGAAGTAAGCAGCTTAAACATCATGAGTGAATTGGAAGACAGTTTATCGATATCCGGATGTAGCAACGATATAATTTGGCATCGTGGAATTTGTGTGTGTTAAATTGTGGCTCATTTACTCCAAACGCGAAATAAACCAAAATAGTACCATATCCAAAATATCCCAAAGTACTTCACGTGTCACATATAAACATTCATTTTATGATCATACACACATGTATATGGCACTGTAATGAGGGCAAGTTTTAATACTACTTGTACAGGATATTTAAGGTAAAAAAAAATGAATGTGCAATCTACGTCTAGGGGAACGATGACAGATATTATGACGTCATCTATACATAAACACTATATACGGGCTTCTCGATCGCCATGATTGTTTTTAATGAAGATTATGCCACTCCATGTTTGGGCAACTAGTACTTCCTGTTTTATCGTTTAGGGGCGATGAATAAAACGGCTGTCCATCGAACCGCACATTTAACGTAAATTATCTGTGTAGTATACAATAGAGGTTCCTATCACAGCGTGTCCTCCGTCAGATAGTATACTTCTTCACATTGGTTGCCAGTTGTCCGTAAACACACTGGAAAAAAAATATCATGTTTTACACATATGAAAGAGTGAAAAAATAATAATAACATGGTTAGAAAACACATGTAAAATTGTGTAAGAAATGTTGAAATTGATGAAATGATCTAGATTATGAAATAATATATCATATGTCCAAATAATACATTGGTGTTATACCATATGCAGTTAAAAAAACTGTTTTACAAAGTATATAACATGAAATGTAAATATTTTAGCGTGTGTTGTATTGGAAGTTTATTGTACCTTATTACAAAACGGCACATGAGAGTTATCAAAATGTAACACTGTAAGCCTTACCAAAGGAGTCCGGTGTGCTTTAATATCATAACGTTGTCTTATACCCGATTAAAACTGGAAAAAGAATCAAAGGTAATATATCAATACACGAACCTATATACAATCACACTTATTTGACATGCGTAATAAAACACTTATTGTTGTGCAGTTTGAATAGGTTGGCGTGGCGTGGACATATTATTATTTGTTGAATTGTAATAGAAAAATAAAATTGTATAACATTTGTTTATTATGTCCTCTTGACAGAGATATCTCTTTCATAATACTATAAAATATGTTCATGCATAGATAGGCTTGCGATTCATCGTTTGACATGTCGGCCGAAGTTGTACTTACGCGGCATTCTCGTAGATCTCATCCGGAGACTCCTCTCCAGGAATTGGAGGCGGCGGCCTCCGGCGCGGAGCCTGCCATCGTTTGGTCAGGTTCCGCGACTTCCGTTTCTGGTAGTGGTCGTCTTGCCTCTGCTCCTGCTGCTGTACGTGGAACATCTGGAGAAGAAGATTGAAACAATTTGTCTTAATGTCTATTTTTCGACCCCACTTCCCCTGGAACCCTTTTGTTCTACCTCATAGAACATATGCATTGATGCAAGTACATTTATTGCATTAAAAGATGCATTCTGATTATAAACAATAACCAGCTAGAAGTTATCAGATCATTGCTGATAAAAGCTATTGTCAGGTTTTATTTGATACACACACAAAGATCAAAATAGAACATAGACTGTACGAACAGACAACAACCGAGAAAACGTCAAAACAATACACCAGAAATAGCTTCCTATAGAAACGTAGGCGAACCATGTGCTCCACAAGGGTAAGCGTTTTCTAACAATATATTTTAACCGATACAGTGTTGGTCACCAATGATCTAAGATGCGGTGAACAGGTCTTTAATCGTTATCGGAACAGACCTCTCAAGGTTCGATATTAAATCATGATACCAACTATAAAAATACATTTGAATTTAAAACACTTAGTCTGTTAGTAGGATGCATCTACTGTATCAGGAAAAGAATGATGAATTGCTTCTGAATTATCGGGAGGTAAATCTTCGAAGAATTTGATGCGAAACAAGACGTAAACTTCCTTCATTTTCCATCAGAGGACATTACATGGAAGTTCGTTAATATAACTATTATAGATAAATACGTTGCTAGGTGAGGAATAATTTAAACTTTCCCCGCGTTGTGGATAAGACAGGCAAAAGGGAAAGACTCTTAATATCTTGTCTGAGGCTTTGCCGAGGGCAGGACATTTAAGAATCTTACCATTATTGGTGGCGTGACGTCACGTCAGTGAATTGTTGACGTTATGTCAATACATTTTAGATGTGCCGTCATAAAATTGTTATAACAGTGGAATCCCCTCGTCTTTACACTAGGGTAAGAGTATAAGATTTAAGAAAAATACTCTTTCATGTCCAGGGGTGTAGGAAGCCTCGGGTTTTACCATTTAAAAACACATCGAGTGGAATTTTCCTATCCTACACCCCTGGACATGAAAGAGTATTTTTCGCTCATTTCAACAACCAGAATAAGCTCAGAAACCATGAAAATGCTACCATTTTGAAAACATCAATTTTTCCCTAGAGCTTTTCTGACGAATACGAGTTCATCAGCGAGAATTAACAAACCCCATATTTGCAAACAGAGTTTGCGCAGAAAAAATAGTTTCATATTTCTAACGTGTACGGTTGATATATCGTAAAAGGTTTTAATTTCACCACGTTGCCTTTTCAGCATTGCGGCATCGGTGTTTTCCAAATTCGTAACGTCACGTCATTGTTGAGCTATTGTGACGTCACGACCATGTAAGAAAGACTCAGCAAGCATGACTATCTTACATGGCCAGCGTTATCTTACATGACCGGATATGAGAGAAATAAATATCTTTGCCTGACCTGAAATGTGGAGAAAATATCACTTTGACCGACACGCATAGATATTGGAAACGATTTCGACCATCGTGTTAAAAGGAAGTGCTCTTGCTCAAACATCCACACAGTTAATACTGATCATCCTATGATGCCTTACCGGAGGTTCATATATCTCATCATCGTCTTCATCATCGTCGTCCTCGGCAGGAACAGGCGCGGCGGCGCGATGGCCATTCGCAGACGGTCCCGGCATCTCATCCATTTCCATACTGCCTTTGTCGCTCTTCTGTGTATTAATTTCTGAAACAAACAACGCCAACAACTATTAGTTTTGACCGTGCCTTAAAAAAAAAAGCAACTCCCTGATGACTGTTTAGCGAGTACTTTTATTAATGGATAGTTCCATGGCATTTGATCCCAAAATCCACACTTTATTAACGATCACTTTTGTTATAATCTATAATTCCGCACTACAGCCCAAACCCTGTAAGATAATCACTAGAAATACAAAGTAGGGTAGCGCCTAATTTTTAAAATGTTAGTTGGAGCAAGCCAACCAAATTAACCCTTTATTGCAATTTAGCAAATACTCTTACAAAAGGCAAGCTCGATGTGATCCCGTCGCTAAATCATGCTTCTCTAACGGCGTACTCATCTTATAGGACACGGAAATTACAACGAACAACCCACCTTCTCTTTCCGAGTGTTCCTATTATAGTCCAGTTAAAGAGAAATCCGTGACACAATCAACATTTTCTTAAAACATCCAGTCAATATTCGGTTATAGTAAAAATTCCGGCAAGAAAATAGGGGGATATACTGGAACCAGGACGGCAGTTTGTCACTACACGCATGCTCAGTACCTCAGGTTTTATAAAAAAAAAAAAAACCTTAGGAGTTATGTCCCATTTATTAGTATCCGTTTAGAGCTTTATCTGAAGTACTGCTTCTTGCTTTCCTCGTCAAAATTTTTAATCTTGGAATAGACCACCATTTTTGGAAGTTTTGTGCTTATGGTTTAGTTTGTTTTTTATATTTTGGCTTTTTTTATGAGTTCTGACACTTTTCCTTTATTCCGTAGCACGAACTACGGCTACTTATCGTCTTTCCCAATATTCATAATCAAATAACTGGTACCTTAGGTAGATGCAATCACTTTCACTTATTTGTTTTAATGCGGAAGCGTGGATGACAGATAACCTGTCGTTGACAGTTCTAATTTTTATAATTATCAACTTGACCCAAATTCAACTTGCCCTGAGACCAAAGTATAATTTCAATGCACCAGATGAAACTATCGACGTTGCATGATTTCAACGTATCAACATATTAACAACATGTCTGGCAGATATACCTTCCTCCTGGACTTCGTCAAGGTCCTGGAGCACATCGACACCGAAGAACGACGATATGACGGTCGGGTATCGCAGATCCATGACGTAGATGATGAGTCCAAGGATGATACAGATAATTCCTGTCAGACGATACCAATTTAATACTTATTCACATCTGACGGCAATAGCTTCGTAAGGTATCATTAGTAGTCTATAAACGTCACCAGTAAGCAAAACATTTAATTGTTCATGTTCATCATCTAAACGTTTACCTTTAAACCTAAGTTTACCAAGGGAAGTATATCTGCTATGTTCAATGATAGAGTGCGATTGTTAAAAAAAGTCGTTTCATTTGTATTTCATGCTAGTTTAATCTTTTGATACATTAGTTGCCTCTATTTTATTTGAAAACTGCATATGTAGAATGAATATGCTTCTTTAACCAAGAGGTGCAAGTTTTAAATGTATTATCAATAAACATCGAAGAAAGCTTAAACGTGTACATAGGGTAAATATACACCTTGTACTTACCAACAATGAGATTGAGCCAAAATGAACCGCCATATGTAAAAACTAATATCTTGGTGTCGGTGAAAGGGATCATCAATTCATTGAAGTTTCGTACCGACGCCCAGATTATGTTGGCTGATACCATTACAGCCCCCGTTAGCATCAACATGCAAGCCCCGTACCGCAGGAGGACGTAGAACAATATTACTGTCAGAAACCATAATGGTAGGGCCAACCTAGAGTTGCCAAAAATGCCGTGTTAGTACATATATGATATCGCTTTAATTCAAGTTATTTGAAATACGCTACATGTAATTTTGGAGATGTTTAGAATAAAACAATTTTACACGTTAAATGCTCATCGGCTTCTGTTCGAATTAATAATTCAGGTCAAGTTTTCTTTTCCCAGTCGATACTATACTATCCGTTATTTATCATACTACGTACCACATCATGATGTGAGCGTACCAGCCCGCCTGTCGATAATGACGCCCCCATCGTATCCCCTCCCCGTCGAAAGTGAAGTACTCGGCTATCCAGAGAATGGGGAGGGGTAAACCACGGAACTGGGCGGCTCGAAACTCACGATTAAACCTTCCAGCTAGAGAGAAATAAAGTTATTAGATAAGCATTTATAACAATGTATACTAGCTTTGATTAACGTTAATAAATCGACAGGAATTTACTATTAACTTACCAAATATTCCGAAGCCAAATCGTCCCTGCTCCCACCTCCAATCAAAGTGTTCGTTGTAATTGATAGTCTCATTTAAGTTATCCACGCTCTGAATCTCTGGTGTTCCTGTTCAAAATGATACACGCAAAGTTAAACGCCAAACAAAGAGGAACATTGCTGATGTGAGCGCGATTGGCCACCCCTGGCCCATGACAATACTCAGGTGATATAAAACATAATACAAGATACACGTTAGCCCGAGATATTGCATTAGATTCAAGACAAGAAGTCAGGGCAGACCTTGTTTAAAGAGGACAATGTCATTTGCTGACATATCTATTCATTAAGTCCTTCAATCCATCTGTGTGTACAAGCTGTTTTACTCAAGAATTCCTATCTTTATACAATAATGTTGTTGTTGTTGTTGTTAACGATACATTTCACCGTGTCCCAAAAGAAGGGTTATTTCTCCGCTACCTTTCAGTGTAATGTTAATCCCACGCAGTCCTATGTGGACCGCCACATCGGCGTGTATGTCTGCCTTGGACCCCGCTTTGTACTTCGTGGTCAGATCCTCGATTTCAGATACCTCCCAGTCATACGTGAAGTTGGTCACTGCAGTGGTACCACAATGAATATGAGAAATTAATAACAATTAACTGCAAACAGCAATTACTTTCATTCAGTCTGCTACAAGCCGAGTTTGACTTTATATTGTAACACCTAACTTAATACATGATAGATTATGTTTGAAATCAGGTTGAGGCAGACTTGATGTTCAAGATATCCGGAGATTAAAGACAAGCTCATACAGGGAATGTTTGTTATATTTCTTTCGCAAATTCGAAATCAACTTATGAAGATTTTGAGATCATGATAATAGTAAAAACCTTGTTGCAAATGTTGAATGTAAGACCCTGAAGAAATGGGAGCTTTATTTTTCACGCTCATGTTTACGAGACCGTAAAGGCTAGCATTGATTGGACGCCTACCTGTGAACAACACACGTGTTATCGTACTGCTGAAACTCTTAGCTATGCGTGTGATAGTTTGTTCGAAATAAAAACAAAGCGCCATTGTTACTTACGTAGTATAACGGCTCCAATGAACAAAAACGACGTGATTCGAATGAAAGCGAAGATTCGCTGAAAACAAAACGTAAAAAGAGTATGTAAAAAAACAACAGAGTTACCTAATACATGTAGTTATTTAACATATGAAATAAAGAGCACAACGCGTGCTTTACTAACCGCTGGTATTGAAGACATTGCTATTTCGTGTTATTATTTTATTTCACCTGCACAAGCATCAAGAAAACGGAAATCGGAGGAAAGGAGCTTGTTGATCGTTGTTCTTATATTGTAATCCTTGCTACTTAACTGACCTCTTTTCCTCTGATTCCAGGCAAGACGACGTAGAACGAAATGGCGAGGATAATGAAGGCGAAAATAAGGCCAGCCTCGAGGACGTCTGTCATGAACGCCGTCTGGTTGGGACCATAGTAGGTCGGGGCGCCATTTTCGCGGAAGGCGTCATATACGCCTGCGGGCAGACTCATCTTGCTCCTGTAAAATCAATTCGTTATGGTTATAGGTCTACAATGTTTCGGTGATAGACCTTTATCATGTGACCGTTTGAAAGGTTTTATAGAAGGTGGTGTTTATCTCTTTAACTGATCAGGACACGGATGAGAAATGTTGACGGGGTTGAGAAATGTTAACGGGATTGAGAAATGTTAACGGGGTTGAGAAATGTTAACGGGGATGAGAAATGTTAACGGGGTTGAGAAATGTTAACGGTGTTGAGAAATGTTAACGGGTTTGAGAATTGTTAACGGGGTTGAGAATTTCGATAGAAATGCACATATTAATTTTAAAAGTATCTTCTTTGAAATTCTAACAAATATGGTTACAGGAATACAGAGTAGTAGGACAACTTGTGAATCACATTGGAGAAATATTTAACTCACCAACTAAACAGTCAACCAACAACACTACATAGTTAAAAGTCACATTGGAGAAATATTTAACTCACCAACTAAACAGTCAACCAACAACACTACATAGTTAAAAGTCACATTGGAGAAATATTTAACTCACCAACTAAACAGTCAACCAACAACACTACATAGTTAAAAGTCACATTGGAGAAATATTTAACTCACCAACTAAACAGTCAACCAACAACACTACATAGTTAAAAGTCACATTGGAGAAATATTTAACTCACCAACTAAACAGTCAACCAACAACACTACATAGTTAAAAGTCACATTGGAGAAATATTTAACTCACCAACTAAACAGTCAACCAACAACACTACATAGTTAAAAGTCACATTGGAGAAATATTTAACTAACCAACTAAACAGTCAACCAACTACACTACATAGTTAAAAATCACATTGGAGAAATAATTAACTCACCAACTAAACAGTCAACATCTACAATACATAGTTAAAAATCACATTGGAAAAATAATTAACTCACCAACTAAACAGTCAACCAACTTCACTACATAATTAAAAATCACATTGGAGAAATATTTAATTCACCAACTAAACAGTCAACCAACTACACTACATAGTTAATAATCACATTGGAAAAATAATTAACTAACCAACTAAACAGTCAACCAACTACACTACATAATTAAAAATCACATTGGAGAAATATTTAATTCACCAACTAAACAGTCAACCAACTACACTACATAGTTAAAAGTCACATTGGAAAAATAATTAACTCACCAACTAAACAGTCAACCAGCTACATTACATAGTTAAAAATCACATTGGAAAAATAACTAACTCACCAACTAAACAGTCAACCAGATACACTACATAGTTTAAAATCACATTGGGAAAATAATTAACTCACCAACTAAACAGTCAACATCTACACTACATAGTTAAAAATCACATTGAAAAAATAATTAATTCACCGACTAAACAGTCAACCAACTACACTACATAGTTAAAAGTCACATTGGAGAAATATTTAACTCACCAACTAAACAGTCAACCAACTACATTACATAGTTAAAAATCACATTGGAAAAATAATTAACTCACCAACTAAACAGTCAAACAACTACACTACAGAGTTAAAAATCACATTGGGAAAATAATTAACTCACAAACTAAACAGTCAACCAACTACACTACATAGTTAAAAATCACATTGGAAAAATAATTAACTCACCAACTAAATAGTCAACCAACGACATTGTATAGTTCAAATATAGAGAGCACCTCTAAAACAAAGTGTAGTGTTTTATCAAAATGGTACTGATGGAGTTTATATATAACAATGTATATTAGACACGATGTTTTGCCGAGTGATTAAGACATTACGCGGGTAACTTATTATTAAACTGAACGTACAATAGACATGCAACTATCACTTTACTTTTATAACAGTATTTGTTAAATATATATAAACAAGTTTGGTAAAATAATACAGAGTCAGAAAGGATATAACGTTGTACTACAAACTAACAAAGCATGAACATTTCTAAAGAGTTTACTTCAATATTCCATCAACAGGATATTTCCAGATTGTCACTTCAATGCTTATATCATCAGCAAAGATTGTAAAGTATGATGAGAAGGCCTGTGTATGAGTGTGCTAGTACTTATTTCCTAATAGATACATTTCCTTTGTAAAATATAGTTTAAGCTAACACGTGAGTAAGCTAACGGCTAGATCAATTATGTTAAGTGTGCTTAGATAGTAGATTGACAAAACACATTTTCTGTCATCAAATAATTTGCACGTATTTTTCTGTAGAATTGTACTTTTGTAATGTGTTATCACATACATTTAGTACCAATCAATATATGTATAATACCACGTACAATACTGTATTATCTAATTACATTTAATACCAATCAATATATTTATAATACCACGTACAATACTGTATTATCTAATTACATTTAGTAACAATCAATATATGTATAATACCACATGCAAGACTGTATTATCTAATTACATTTAGTACCAATCAATATATGTATAATACCACATACGAGACTATATTATCTAATTACATTTAGTACCAATCAATGTATGTATAATACCACGTACAAGACTGTATTATCTAATTACATTTAGTAACAATCAATATATGTATAGTCCCACATACGAGACTGTATTATATAATTACATTAAGTACCTATCAATATATGTATAATACCACGTACAAGACTGTATTATCTCAGTACATTTAGTACCAATCAATATATGTATAATACCACATACGAGACTGTATTATCTCAGTACATGGGCAATTTGTTTGGTTGTCAAATTTGTAAATTAGAAAAATAGTAAAAGGATATATTTTGTCATTTTCAGTTGTAGTTTTTGATAGTGAGATATGCGTTTATATGCTTTGCTGGTCCTATGAAAGGCAGTTAAATGTGTACCAAGCCTACTTGGTAAATAATGTATAGCTGTTGGTTCTCCCTCGTCATTGTACAATCTGCCATACGTAATCTACATCTGATGTATCAATTGCGACGTCACAATATATAATATAGAAGCCTGTTAATTAATGACATTATCATTTGACGACGTCACAATTAGTCATACAGTACCAAAAGACCATACAAACCAGGATGACAGGAGCGTATGTGATGGATATATATGTACCACAGCAATGGTATGATAACGCGTATAAATAACGGGGTACAGGCGAAAGGTACTTCCTGGTAAAACAAGTTTAGTCGACAATCACGATCAGCAAATAAAGTTACACCCTGTTAACTTCCCTATTGGTAGTGGGCAAGTCGGTAATCCCGCCGTCCTATCTAATACCGTGTATGTACTCATTGTATTTTCATTTATGATTGATTGTAGACAACAGTGAGAGATTAAGAGAGGTTACATTGACCGCGAGCATTGTTTTATGGCAAAACAAGTTTTATTATTTAATATATATAGAATAACTTCTCTCACGATATAAACTGTTTTTAAAAACTTTCCGTACTTTCAAAATGCACGTCCTTAAATGACCTCAGCTCTTAATAGGTCGTTTAACCGAATGAAACCAAAACAAACTTAACAACTCTTGTACCCGCCACTGGAAAGGAGCTTTTTTCAGACAGTGTATCCCTGCTTAGAAATAAGATATATATTATGATAATAGTATAAAGAAATGTACTGCTATTTAGTTAGAGCATTGTAATGTAGGACGCTGTTACCGTATAGCTTACCTTAGTATCACTAGTATCATGATTGAACATTAATATAGAACATCTGCCTATTTTAAATATTGAAATATATGCAACGAAATATATTTCATTTTCATTTTGAATAGCTACCAACACATTGCTTCATAATGATACAATGAGACACTATTATACACCTAAGAACCACGTTATAACTTATGATAAATACTGCATCTGTAGGTATGGGACCTCATATGACTTTCATTCAACATGATATAGGAATCGAATCCCAATGTTTATTGGAGCCGAGCCTCCGAATTAATGATAACATATTCAATGAACATAAAAGCCACTGCAGTCGTAGAACTAAGCTTTAATGTGAAACAGGAAAAGATGCAAACTAGAACTCATCTTGGAAACATCCCACTAAAGCAGACGACAGCAATAGCACGTAAGCCTGATCGGCTATAGAGCTGATTTCGGTGCAATACAATATTTGTTAACTATGTTGTCCAAATAAGCATGCTTCACAAGGGCGAAAACAAAAAGTAATACATGTATACTTCACAAAGTTAGAAGACAAATTACAGAACAATACTTTTGCATAGCATGGTTCTGATTTTCATTGAAGTGTGACCGGCAATTTGACGTCATTCAGTTTAAATGACTTGCATACAGTGATAAAACATCCTCTACAACAAATCTGTTAATAAGTATATAGAAGTACATTAGCACCCGTGTATAACTTAAACTGCATGCATCGAGGTACAAACCCTCCTATCAACTGAATTATTCTACCTCGAAACACGGATTATCAGTTTCGTGTAACACTTAATTATTTCCTGTGTACATTTATATTGTTCCATGTGTATGTACTCATGTGTATGTGTATTTATACTCGTGTGTATGTTTGGCGATAAGCAAGTGAAAAGATTTTGTATATTCAGTCGTATATATTCAAAGTTAACTCTTTGCTGATTAAAAGGAGGTACTTGTGGTATCTGAAGCATAAAAGAGTATAACATTCCAGTGATGTTTACCTTATCGTTAGATAGTGAAGGGGAGCGGAACTATCTAGCATCAGCAATTGTATAACTAAGTGTTAGCTGTAGAACATTTTGTTCTAATGACAGAAATTAGCATTCCGATTCAATTGAGTAATTTATAAACTACAGCCTTATCAAAAATGTATTTCAATACCTACGTCCAAGTAAGGGACAGGTTAAATGTGAAATTCTCTTCCGCATACAACACTTAGACACTACAGTACATACCGCTATAGAACTTAACAAACATGTTATAAAACTTATCATTAAACTTACCTGTAATGCGCTCAAATCCTTTAGGAAAGTTGTCGAAGTAACATCAATATCACTGCCTGTCTTTTCTCGGCCTTTACCCACAATGTTATATTGTATACGGTTTTAAACTTCCTCGTTTTTAAGTCACGTGACTTGTGAATTGTTAAGCTGGTATATGTGTATATAATTATATCCGCTGTGTGCATGACTTGTCGATGTTCCGGAGTACAGCGTAAGTTACGATGTGACCTGGGGTACCACAGATGAATTACTACACGGGATGGTGTTCTCCTCCAGTGAACCCATACACAATTACAGTAGTAGTTGGTGGGTGTGTTGTGGTCGTTCAAGTAGAATGATTACATTTGCCATACAAAGTATATCACAAATCACAAAGTTAAGGACGAGTCTAGTAATGCGTACACATATAAGGTTTTACATACTATTATTAGTGATATAATGGAAGGATAATTAGGGCCCTCTCACATTTTTTCCGCATCACAAGTTGTCTAATGGTCGAAATTTTATCAATATATCATACAATCTTTTCGTTTTCTTTGCTCCAGATAGGATTTTGAACACTTGTTATTAATGAATTTACACTTAGTTGTTTGTAGCCAGTATCAAGTTTGCTGTTTACGCAATACGCCGTAGTAATCGTGTGTAAATCAGGTGCACTGTAATAAAAACAATTTCTACGGTTGATAAAAAAGCCAAATTAAATGACCAAGCCTAAAATCTAGATTCGGTGTCATCAACACTACTCTCTTTTACAGAGAGTACTAAAAGAGAGAAAAAAACAATGTCACAAGGGAATATTTTTATCTATAGGTTTTGCTGTGTTTTAAAGAACACGAATTAAATCAGTATAAATTGATATATAAAATTGCTTCGTGTCCAACGGCCAAACAGAAATTCTATGTCAGACCTTTGTATGATGAATGCTTTAAAAGGGTAGAAAGTAAACTCATGAACGCAATGAAATAAAAACAAGCATTGAGATATATAACTATTAATGAATCATTCAAAAATCATTGATTCGTGTGTTTCCCCTTTCGGTACTGAAAGCGCTAAGTTCCTGCCTGATGAGGGTTTTTTTCTTGTCATGTTCGCCGTGTTGTGTATCTTTTTCTATTCTTTTTTACTTTATTCCACTTCATAAATTAATGACCAGAAAAGAAGATGATTACACACCTGACACAATCCGAACTGTGTCAATGTCAAGGACTTATTCCGGAAGCTGCTGTTTTTCGCTGATCATACTTTCAATATCTTCCCAGTGGTGCTTGTTTCTGTAATCCCTTGCATTTTACAAACAGTTTAGTGGCATTCCCCTTCTTAAGCATTGGAGTAAATATGGATATTTGTTATTCTTCTGGGACGTCCAATTCCATCATCATTTGTTGACAAGCGAGGTGATGTATGGAACGGTTTCCTCTGCCACTAGTTTGTTGTATCCGGCTGTTATACCAGCCTCCCAAATTGTCAGACTTTCGAATTTTGGTCAGCCTGTAGCGTATACTTCTGGGTGACTGCTGTTATGTCCTAGGGTCAGATAGCATGTTTTCCTCGATTTTGTCGTTCTGGATCTTTGAGACTTTTAGACGTTAGATGTTGAATCAATTCTGGGTATGTTAGGTCGGGTATTGGCAAGTGTTTGGAAATGTATCTGTCACCCCAGAAAGGATCTCCTCCGGAACAGCAAGCCCTGTATTGTTGAGGGTGAGGGCATCCATTTCTTTTCCTGTTTCGTGCTTTTGGTTTCGCTTCAGCTTGTAAAACAGTTCGTTATTACCCTAGGAGGCCGTCATAATGTTCTCCATGACTTCTTTCAGAGGCATGTGAAAATCTCTGACTTGACCTTAAAGTGCGGTTTGCTTGTGTCATATTTAATGAATGCGAAGATGTCCGTCGCCTCTACGGGTGCTACGTCTACGAAAATGACGCGGGGGTTTAGGTTTATATATAGTTTCCACATCGGTTTTGATTTGATCAGACATCTGAAACTCTCTTCCTTTCTCCTTTAAAGATGATAGAAAAAGTTACAAGTTCATGCACAAAAACGTGCAGCGAATCAGTGTCGTGTAAGGAGAGTGTATTGCATCGTGTATTTAATTTTATTTTGGAGAATACAGTCAATCCAGAATTTGTACAAGTTGTTGTTAATGTCCTTTTCCGGTGAACTCTAGTAATGCCCGAAATCGGGTTCGTCCGTTCTGCTTAGCGAGGCTTTCATACCCTGTGTGTGTAATTGTACTTCTGAATCATGGCCATGGTAAACAGCTAGTCCAAAGTATCAAGCAGCGACTTCCATGTGGAATCGACCCAACTATTCTTTATCTTTATTTCATATTCAAGTATATATCATTAATTTTGACGCTGAAAACCAAATCTTTGAGTAAAGGCTGCCCGGAGATGAACGATGTATATTCTTTTTGAAGACCCTGATTTGAGGCCTGACACAATAAGCACTCGACGCAAGGAATCGAACCCGAGCTAATAAGAATATCTGGATCCAAACGCCATGAAAAACTCGAAACCTCACACTTACCCGTCTTGGCCAGGTGTCTTAATCATGATGGTTTCCATTTATGATTACTTAGTTGTATAAAAACACTGGTTACTCACTACACAGAACCGTACGAGTCCATAGAAACGACCAATGAATGCTAGTTTCTTTTTTATAAGATCCCGATATGACAATAAATATAATAGATACTTCATTCCTTCACATTTCCAGTGATTAGTTTGTGCTTTCACATTCTTTTGCCGAGGGCATGCAATTTCTGTTGTCTAGTAGTTCAGTACCTCATCGGTAGGTTTTCATTTCACTCTTTGATGTTGCAATTTGGTGCTGTCTGACTTTCTTCGACTCTATTAATATACAATATGACTTTTATAAAGTATCCTATCAGTGAAGATTATATACAGATACTTCGAGCCTATTTTCAAGACGAATGGAACACAATTCTATTTCCAGTACTATTGAAACAATATGCTTGACCGAATTAAGCTTTCTACTCAAACAACCGAGTTCAGGAGTAAATGCAAAGGCAAAGATGTGTTGCTACGAATACCTGGTTAATTTTCTGATCATTGTTGAATCTGCCAAATTTTGTGATATGGCTCCCTAATCACATTTCGTTACCTTGGAATCGATATCAGCTGGGACAAAGTCGACGACAGCACATCACATCCGATTATATATTTTTCTATGAATTATTAATGACGCAGTGGAACTTACCCTCCAAATGCCTACGGCTATGGTGGGAGTATTCTTCACACCTCTATTATCATCTCTATACCAGAAACGTGCCACTGTACGCCAATGAAATTGCATGTATGGAAAGTTAAATCGGACAGGTACAGCGGTAAAAGGAGGCAGTAGCTTCGTTTGACGAACGCTCTATGTGATAACCCTGGTGCCAAAGGCTAGTCAAAAGTGCTTTTGACAGAATATTTATTTTCAGAGACCAGAGCTGGCGAGTATAGTACATGACCGTGGATAATCGACCTATTAAAGGACTTAAAGCTGGGGGGAGGGCTATTATTTGGGTGATTACTTCTATATTTATTGTACTCTGGTTTTTCCTCCACATAAATGTTACATAAGTAAATAGACATACAAGTGTGGTGGTGTTTGAGGCGCGTCAAAGAGACGTAATTAATGCGGTAGGCTGCCATTGTGGTGGTGTCGATTGCTATTTGCTAAGACACTTGAGGTTCGTTAAGAAAAGGTTGATGTCTACAGCTAATCGGACTACCAAGGGTGCTGTAAACAATGGTTCCTTTACTAATTTAGCAGTCGTGTACATATGCATGCTGTCCCAGCTGATATCGATTCCAAGGTAACGAAGTGTGATTAGAAAGCCATATAACAAAATTGGCAGAATCAACAATGATCAGAAAAGTATCCAGGTAACCTTAGCAGCACCTCTTTCCCTTATGCCAGCATATACTCCTGAACTCATTTTAGCTATCAGCTTTTATTTCTAATTTTGATACATGTGCAAAATATCTTGCATGTGAATAAATCGACAACATTTAACAACAACTGTTTCTTTAAAACTCTTTTGTACCTCTTTTTCTCCTTCCCTCCTTCCTCCCCCATCCCTATCTCTTCCATATACTTATATGTATGTGTACAATATTAGTCAGTAACGTCCAAGCGCCGTTCATAAAAAAGGAGACGGATTAACATCAGTACTTTGTACTTGTTTTCGAATCATATATGTATATCATGTTTGTATTACTGGAATATTATACCGATAATAAAATATATTTTAAACTAAATCGAGGTGAACTGGTGAAGCACATGTTCCCACTTTTCTATGTTGTAGGTGGTGCTGAGATTAGAGGGGTAGAGAGACGGGAAGGTTCCATAACAAGGTTACACAGAAAGGTTACCGGAGAATCCACAATCGGGACCTACTCTAAACATGTCTATGTTGTAGGTGGTGCTGAGATTAGAGGGGTAGAGAGACGGGAAAGTTCCATAACAAGGTTACACAGAAAGGTTACCGGAGAATCCACAATCGGGACCTACTCTAAACATGTCTATGTTGTAGGTGGTGCTGAGATTAGAGGGGTAGAGAGACGGGAAAGTTCCATAACAAGGTTACACAGAAAGGTTACCGGTGAATCCACAATCGGGACCTACTCTACACATTTCTAAACCTGCTTAAACTTTGTGATGTTCACGCTGTTCACGGTTTTCCATTCGAGGTTTTCCTTCCAAAAAAATGTATATTGCATATATAGCTTTAGGTTTTGCCTAATTTTTATTTCTACCTGGTATATATCACATAACCTGTCCGACGAAATTTCCTTGCTGGAGAATCAAACACATGCTTAACTGTGTTAAAAGACAATTAAGTATAGTTAAAGCTTGTAAAACAGCTACGTCATCTGTCCTTCTCCTTCTCCTCATCATGTATCAGCTTTCACAAGAAGTTCGGTTTTTTGTCCGATATGATAAGTTCGTTTGGTGAATATGAACTTTTATCACTTATATTAATGTACATTGTGTGAATTTATCGCAAAGTGACTGAAGTCTTTTGCCGTCACTAAAAATTGTAAAAAAAATACAATTTCGTCAAAGTCCTTCCTTGACTGCGGCTGGTTGGGGGGGGG